GGGCGCGCAGCAGCGCTCGCGCTGCGGGTTCGGATCCTATATAGGGATGACCGGTGCGCTCACAGCACTCACTGGCTGAGCGCGTTGTGGCCGGTCTCAAAAAGGACAAAAAAAAAAAGAAAAGAAATGCTGTGGGCGGGCCGAGCCCGTGGCACACTCCGGAGAGTATGGCTCTGGGAGCGCAGCAGCGCTCCCGCTGCGGGTTCGGATCCTATATAGGGATGACCGGTGCGCTCACAGCACTCACTGGCTGAGCGCGTTGTGGCCGGTCTCAAAAAGGACAAAAAAAAAAAAGAAAAGAAATGCTGTGGGCACACAGGCTGTTTTTATCTTCAACTTGGCCGAGTCTTTTTCTTAGTTCAAACTGCAGAATATTTTTTGTTATTTTTAGTGTTCTTTTACTTTCGTCTTCTGCCAGGCAGCACATTCACGTGGCTCGTGACTCACACTGCAGCAAAACGGTGGGTCTGCCGTCCTGTCCTGCCTGCTCTTCTACCCACAGACACCCCATCGTGTCTTTCTTGCGTTTCCTTCTGCGTGTTTGAGGGCGAGTACTGTGGTCTTTCTGGACCCTGTGCCCTCACAGGGAGCGGTGCCTGCAGCCAGCTCAGGCAAGCTTCAGGCCTGAGTGCACCTGGCCATTTGTGCCTAATGTGAGCTTCTGCCTTTCCAGTCACCGTGACCCCCTCGGGACAGATCACTACCTCTGGGGCACTGACCTTTGACCGTGCGTCCACTGTGGAGGCCACCGCTGTCATATCGGAGAGCCCGGCCCAGGGCGACGTCTTTGCGGGAGCCACGGGTGAGTTTTCTCAGCCCCTGCCTGATGCTGACTGTTACATTGGTCACCACTGCACGGGCTTTGCAGGCTGCCTGGCACCTTGGGTGGGACCTTGAGCAGGGGTGTGCATTGGTGGGGGCAGTGCGGATGCTGTCAGGGAAGTGTGGCCGATTTGGGGGAGGGAGGTGATTATCTGTGACAGACCATGTGACTGGCAAAGCTGGAAATGCTTCCGGTTTGCTGAGTCCTGCTTCAGGCTATGGCAGAATCTGAACCGTCTGTGTAGTTGTGTTCTAGGGGCACGTCAGGGAAGTGAATGGAACAGGCAGAATTAATTTTTGTAGTATATTTTATTTTGCCCACTATATCCTAATTCCTAGCATGTCAACAATTCAGATTCACCATATTTCAGGGCCTCAATAGCCACATGTGGCGAGAAGCTGCTGTACTGAATGAATGTTAGATTTAAAATCTGTGGTACCAAATCTGGATCCCAAGGCTGTCTGATCCCTTTTCTCTCAACAGTGCAGGAGGCTGGTGTGCAGCCCCCCTGCAGGGTCGGCCACCCCGAGCCTCACTACCCCAGCTACCAGGACGGCTGCCAGATTGCACCATTTCCAGAAGCTGCGCTGCCAACATCACACCCCAAAATAGGTAAGTTTGAAAGAGCGCATGCACATATAGGTTATTGTCTGTAGAACTGCTTCTAATGAAAGAATTTTTAAGTGAAATTAGGGTTTATTTTGGTTTGTTTGTTTTCTTGTTTACGCACTAGATCAGGGACTGACAAAGTATGGCCAAATGCACGTGTTTGTAAATAAAGTTTTATTGGAACAGGGCTGTGCCCATTGATCTGTGTGTTGCGGGTGGCTGCTTTTGTTACAACAGCACACTACTCCCAAGGGGACCGAATGGCCTGCAAAGCCTGAAGCATGCGCTGCCAGGCCCTCCTGGGGAAGAGCGCGTTTACAGTCTGTCTCCCCACCAGACGGACCCTCCCCCACAGTGGGGTGTTGGTCTCGCTGGAGCTGGCCCAGGGCGCTCAGTGGTGGAAGAGTGAAAGTCCCAATGTGTGCATCACATGCAGCCTAAATCTCAAAAGGGACGTGGCTCTGTCCCTGCATCTTGGCTCTGGCTCTTCAGTTAGCTGCGCTTGTTGTTGCCAGTACGGGGATCCAAGCCCTTGGCCCTGGTGTTATCAGCACCAGCTGTAACCAACCGAACCAGCCGTCCAGCCCTAACTACACGTTGGGTACATCTCCGTGTCCTCAGGCTTTTATAAAGGGAGCACACAATCAGTAAGTTGCTGACTGAGCCTTGCCCTGTGGTGGACATCTGTGATCCTTGTCCCACAGTGCAGTGCAGCGTGACACTTGTCCACAGGTTCTGAGGGCTCCGCCATGTTCGCATTTGCTGTTTCACATTCTGCCTTTTGCCTGTTTAAATTCTTCTGTCCTCAAAGCCCACCTCAGGTTCTACCTCCCTCTCTAAACCCCACCTTCATCTGCAGTCCCTGGGGTCTCAGGGTGACACCTTGGCCAGGCCCCGCACTGTGTTTTCCCAAGACCCTCATGTATCTCTGCTGGGGGGTGGGGACGCTGTCCTGTCCTGGCCAGGGCTGTCCTCAGGGGCTCGTGCCCTGCTCTGCAAGGCACTCAGCTGGCAGGAGGCCCTCGGGTGTACAAAAAGTGCAGCTACAGCACGAGGAGCTTCCCCCCGAGCTATTTGAGAGTGCGCTGCCGATGCTGCCTGGGGTGCTTTAGTGCGTTCTTCTCAAACATAAGGACGCAGTCAAAATGAGGAAGTGAACAGTGACTCATCCTGCCGTTCGGGGTCTCCAGTCATTTTGTGTCTCTTTACTCTCCCTCAGACTCAGCCTTCACACCCTTGACGATTTTGGAGGAACGCCCTCCCCTTGGGTTTGCAATGTTGGCCCATGAACTCGGGTGGTATGTCTGTCAGTTGGGCACAGATGTGGGGATGGGGCTGCTCATGGCCCTCGCGACACATGAACTCTTCTGTCCTGCCCCTGCTGAATTTGGCCTGACCCCTGGCCGGGGTGGTGCTGGCCAAACCTCTACACTGTGACGCCGCCCTTTGCCTCTGGTCAGTAGGTGCCTGTGGGAGATAAGGGGAGGCTGCGGAGACCTGTGCTTCCTCGTCAACGGTTGCCGTGCCTTGTGAGTGTGGACTGAGGGTTTCCTGTGTCACTCAGGGCTGTGGTCACTGCTCCTGCTCGAGGTGCCCCAGATGTGGCCAGCGGTAGCTCTGACCGCCCACTGCTCTCAGCACAGCCAGACACTTGCAGCTTATCTCAGGCTTCTGTCCCTCCTGGAGCCTGGCCATCTTAGTGGCAACGGCGTTCTGGCCCTGGTCGCAGTGGGCTGGGGCCATCTGTTCCCAGCTTCTGCGCTGACCGTGTCTGTCTCAGCCCATGTCCAATGGGAGCTTGAAAAGGGCCTTGACGGAAGAACTTACACCAAGAAATGGCAAGTGCTACATATCAGGGCTTGTTTCCTGAGGGTGAGAGGTGACACTGAGCCATCTGTGCACCAGGCCCTCCCAGTGGGTAGAGGTAGGGAAGGAGTGTGTGTCCTCACACATACATGCACACACGTATTCATCTGTGATCTGGATCTCTCTGCATGTGTTGAAAGCCACCAGCTCCCAGCAGAGTATAGTTCTAGCACAAAACCACAGGGCTCGCTCTGGTTCCCTCTCTTTCCACTTCTGTAACTTTTTTCTCTAGCTGAGAGATACCTGACTGCCATGTTATTAAGAGATCCCCCTGCGTGTGGCCGCACATCCAGGACTTTCTGCATGGGCAGATGTGAAGCCAGGAGGCCTGAGTCCTCTGTCTACTTTCCTGTTTACATTTGACCTGGGGCCACGTCCCTCCTGGTGTGTCCTTGTGGCTGATTCTATAAGTGTTTGGTGGCCGCCCTGCGCCCGGTGATGTTTCGCCTGGGGTCTGTGTGTCTCACTTGTGAACACGCAGCTTTCAGCCTTGTGTCTGGTGTGGTCAGGCCTCAGCAGGTGCTTTTTGGTGACCGTGTTAGGACTTTTAAAGTGTGGAGCTGGGATGGGACAGAATGTCTTTCCGTTTCTGGGGTGTGTTAGGAAGATGCCTGGCAGCAACTTATGCCTGTGTATCACCTTATCCCCTGCTTTCCGACACTTGATGAGAGTTTTCAATGGAGGCTTTTTTGAAGCTAGGAAATGTGTTAATTCCTGCTTTATTTTGCTTTCCAAACATTCTAGTGCTGACCTCCCTGCCTGCCCTGGCCGTCCCACCCTCCACCCCCACCAAAGCTGTGTCCCCCACGGTGGTCAACGGGCTGGACATGTCAGAACAGCGGAACTGGTTGTACCTGGAAGAGATGGTCAATTCTCTGCTCAATACGGCGCAGCAACTGAAGACAGTGTTTGAACAAGTCAAACAGGCCAGCTCCTACCGAGAAGCTGCTATGACCCAGGCCAAACTTCAGGCTGATGCTGAGCGGAAAGAGGTACGGAGGCACGAGCACAGGGCCTGGGAAGCTACTGCGTGCTCCTCCCATGCCCTCGCCGGCTCTGCGGCTGGTGTGGGATGTCTGCATTACTTGTAAAGCCACTGCCCTCCTTTCTGGGAAATCATTCACAAATGAAGCTTTTCTCATAAAGAAGTGACAGCTGGTGAGTGGTGTCCTAATCTTTAAGATGGACAGCACTCCTCCGACAACCAGGAGCGACGCAGGTGGAAGTAGACTTTACTACTGCAGGTCCTGGGGCACACGGCACTCCCAGAGGCCACACATGGAGGTCAGGGAGCACGTGGGGGGGCATGGGGGCCAATGCCTTAGTGGGTCCAGGATGCTATCCAAGCAGGCTTCCCGAGAGGAGTTTCAACTGGTGAGTTTAGAGCAGGCAAGCACGATCTCCACGAGGTCACGCTGGGCTGAGAGATGGTCATTGCAGCCTATCTGTGTAGTCCATGAGAGGTGTGGGGTCAGCAGAACCCGTCCAGCAGGCTACACCTTGCCGTCCCTAAGGGAGGTGGTCACCAGGAGGCGGCTGTCTAAGTCAGGTGTTTGGATCGACCACATCAAGGAACTGGGAGGAGGTGAGGAACTGGGGACTGTCGAGGTGGCTGAGCCCTGCTTCTGGTGTGAGAAAGTCCAGCTTGTATTCAAAACAGGTGTCAAGGCAACGTGAAATGACAAACATTCACTGCAGAAGGTGTTTTTATTTATTGTAAATAAGATTGGTTTATTTCAAAGGGAAAAAAATTCGTATACACCAGCCATTATTTTTGAACACTCACCTTTTATAGATATTATTTAAATTTTCAGGTTGTCTTCACATAGTGACATGTGTCTTGTATGTTATTAAGTTTGGAAAGCATCACTTGGGTGTCTTTGTGAAGGCTCAACCTTGTCCTGGTAGTTGGGCTCTTTCCATCTGCTGTCATATCGTGCCATTGAGGGAAATGTCCTGGGTATTCCACACCCGGCTTCCAGCACATTCTTGAGAAGTCGGATTCTGCGTCCGCAACATTGTCTTTGAGCTTCCTCTCACCACAGGACAAGCGAAAGTCCCTTGCATCCCTTGGGCTTCTTTTTGTACGTGGTCTTTAGATTGCTGTAGGGACTACAGGGCTCAGTGGGGCCAACATTCATATGCCAAAGATAAATCACTAGGGTGAGAGTGGCTGGGGAGTAGGTTGTGTTTGTATGTCACTTCTCATAGCTTAAACCCAGCATGAGAAACTGCGCATTGCAGGGGACTGAGGATGAAAAGTGAGGGGTGAGGGTGTGTGTTCTGCTCGGCACAGGTGGAGGGCCCTTTGTGGAGGGGCTTTGAGGCTGCAGTAAACAGTGGTGAGTTTGCTAACATCAGCTTTTTCAGTTACGGGAAATGTGGGCTTTGGTTTGTAAACAAATGTCAAAATGATTTTTTTCCCACCAAATCTATATAAGAAACTTTCTCTTTCATTTATTCTTACTTCTTATAGACCAGAGGAAAGAAGAGCTTTTCAGGTTCTTAGCTTTCTAACTGGTATCTTAATATGTGATTAATTTGTCTTCAAGGAAGAAAAGTGTTTTTCTATGCCTGAAGACAGATAATTTAAAAATGCTCTTGGGCTGGCCGGTCAGCTCAGTTGGTTAGAGCAGGTCCGTAGAACACCATGATGTCACGGGCTTGGGTCCCGTAGTGGCCAGCTATCAAAAAAAAACTTTAAAAAAAAGTACAATCCATACTGATACATACTCACTGCTGAAATTTATGGAAAACAAAAGCTTAAGGGCAAAAAATAGAAACCCAGGATTTGCTTAATCTGTTGTGGTTACGCAACAGATACGGAAATGACTGTCATAAAGGAAGAGGCCCCTAGAAACGGGGGGGGCAGGGCCGCCATACGGGCCACAGGGGAGCGCCAGGCTGGTCGGGAGGCAGAGGGAGAGAGGGCTAACGTGGGCATAGGCCTCTGCTGTGGCTTCTGTGGGAAGGCTCAGGTCTGGCCGGTGTGAGTGTCTTTGGCGGGCTCTGGGTGCAGGGGCTGTCACTGGTTGTCTGCTGTCAGTGTCTGGGGTGATGAAGACAGGTGCATAGTGGCCGGGAGTAAAGGAGGTGGGTGGGTGTGTGAGCTCTGGATGGGTTGGTTTGCACTGAAAGGTGAGCTGGCAGGCGAAGAGTTTTCTCTCTTGAGGAACTGGCTGACCAAAGGAGGGGCTGTCCCTCCAGGGCCAGCCCAGCCCCAGATGTCTTAGTGTCAAAACAGAAGTAAAAACAGGCTTGCTCAGCCGAGCTTCCTGCATCTGTCAGTTAGTTTTCACCCAACGTGGAGGATGTCCCGTCACTGTTTGTTACACACTTTTTATGCCGTCGTCTTGCTCTCCTCCTGCAGTGACATGATTTGCCTGCTTGGTGGTCTCCTGTAGGGCAGCTCCAGCTAAAACGAGCACAGCCTCCTGCTGAGGTGTCATGTCCTCGCCCTGGGTGGAGAGCCCTCCTGGCCCCTTTCTCCTGTTTAGTCTGGCACCTCCAGATCCAGTGCACAGGGTGTGGACAGCTGTGTCCATCAGGTCGGCCAGAATGCCTGGTGCTGCTAGGCTGGCTGATGTTCCCACCCTGAAAGGCTGGGCTTTGGATTTTATTTGTAATTTTAGGTATTTCTAAGAAGGAAACGTGGCATGAAATCCCTTTATCCTTAAAATCCCCTGTTTGGTGGAAGAAGGCTAAGCCTTTTAGCTAGAGAGGCTCACTCCTCGCACCTCTGAAAGCACCGTTGCATTTCATCATCCTGTGCTTCTGAGAGTGTCTGGAAGGCCATGTGCCGTAGCTGGGCTTCCCTTTCTCCCAGGCCGTACATGAGACGTGTCGTTCTAATCACCGCCACCCAACAGCCAAGTATGTGACCTGGAGGGAGCCCGGGGAGTGGCCTACATCTTCACGCAGCATCCACATGGTGGAGATGCCATTTTTGCGGTGCGGACACACTTAGTGTCATTTTCTTTCTTTTTTTTTTTGTTGTGGCATAATCAAACTTTTATAATTTATGAAAAAAATCTAGTTCTAAACAATTGGAAATAGAGGTAAATTAATTTCTTACAAGGCAAAAATACTAGGAATTTAAGTAATGCTGAGGCATTATTGTGTTGTGTGTACCTGTTGAACATCTGGAACTTACTCAGGCTCTTTCTGTCTAAGGCAGTGGCAGAAATGTTCTGCTATTTGTTTCCTTGAGATTTTCTAAATAACCGAGCTCTGAGCTTAAGGAAGCCATGCTAGCAGACAGAGCAATGTCCCCTCTGCATAGAGTGGCAGGCAGAGTCCAGTGGACAGACAGTTGCAGTAATCACTGCCGAGGAGCTGCAGGAGAAGAAAGATCAAAGCCTGCTGTCTGCTCAGGCTGGTCTTGGTGTGTGTCTTGAGACTGTATGGGGTTTCATGAGCATTGCAGTCTGGAGGAGACTATCAGGTTCCTCTTGAGCACTGGAGGCAGAAAGGCTGATGGTGTGAGCTTCAGCCTTGGCCCATCTGGTGCTAGAACAACAGAACCAGCAACCTGCTGGCCACAGGTAGGGCCTCCAGGTGGTGGCTGCTCCCGAGTCAGGCTTGGAGCACTGGGCGTGGTGTCCACCCTCCGGTGCTGCCTGGCTAGTGGACATGGTTAGAGGTGTGGAAGGCACTTGTGGCTGCCCTGCGCTTCGGGGACGCCCAGTTCACAGTCGCGGCACACTTGGTGCTGTGTAGCTCTGGCCTTCCCAGCAAAGGTGATGATCGCTCTGACAGTTGTGGCAACATGCGCTTCGGGGACGCCCAGTTCACAGTCGCGGCACACTTGGTGCTGTGTAGCTCTGGCCTTTCCAGCAAAGGTGATGATCGCTCTGACAGTTGTGGCAACCTGGTGACCACGGCACCCGGATAGGAGCATAGCTGCTGGGTTCTTGTGAAGTGGTGGCTCCTTGGAGAGTCCGCCCTCCAGGGATCTCCTAGGGCATGAACGCATACGTCCCAAAAGGAGGGGCCTCTGCACCCATATCCCTCCAACATGCTGACAGCCATGAGGGCAGCCTTGCGGAGTCCGGGGGATGTTGGCGTGATGAGGGGTGCAGCGGGAGGGTGGCTTGCGATGGAGGGCGCGTGCTCCCTTTTCACGTGTGCAAAGCCCTGCTGGCGCTCTACTGAGAGGCGCAGTGTAATATGAGTGTCTGAACGTCAGTAGAATTAACATGAATTCCCACTCCCTGAGCCCTTGCCACTAGAGAACAGCAAGACGTTTGTATGCCGTTATGATGTCATTTGAAGTACAACTTCTGTCTGAGTATAATGTGGGGAGAAAGTCAGAGTTTGAAAGGCAAACACTGCTCAGTGTCTTTGAATGGAGTGACCCTGTTGGGACCCTTTCCACACTGGGGTGGGGGAAGAAGAGAGAAGGCTGACAGAGCCTCACTTGCAAGCTCCCGTGAGAGTCACGCACACCTCGCAGCACAGGGAGGGAGGGCCTGAGACCGCCAGCTTTGACCTGTTACTCATGTTTGGAATTTTTAAAAAATCAAATTTAGGGCCGGCCCGGTGGCGCACTGCTGTAGTGCGCCGCTTGGGAAGTGCGGCGGCGCTCCCGCCGAGGGTTCGGATCCCACATACAGACCGGTTCCCG